TTCCAAGGTGATTTTAATTAATGCAGATAATTCAATCACTTGCTATCTTACCTTTAACATGTTTTTATAATTAAGAAAATAGTTGATATCAGTTTAACCAACTAAAGAAACAGGCTCTCGCCGCGTATATACATAGATAAAGTAGGACTTGACTGTTTAATTGCCGACATAATAATAATAATAATAATTTCTGCTTAGATATAGAAGTACAGTTATGGGTAGATAATGATACGAAATATGATGGCCACTGTAACGAAGTCATCTCATCAAGATCAAATAAGTAGTGGCATGATAATAGGTAATAGACAATTCTTGAATCCTAATAAAATGAAAAGTGGGTTTTATGAAAAGAGTTTACCCTATGTATTCTATGTGTAAATATATATAATAACTAGTCGAACTTAAGGTCCTAAATCTTATCCTCTTAAATAACCTTTCCATTCACAAAATAAAACTTGTCCCATCACCGTTTGTATTAAGATATCACCAGGAAACTTCAGACATTAGATATTTTAGTTAGTTCATCATCTCAAGTATGATTGTTTCTTTAATGTTCTCATGGCATACTCATGTAACTATTTTAGATTTTGGGGACGAACAGAAATAGTGGGGCCTTGATAAATCTGGGGAGTAAGAAGAATAATCTAGTGTAATGGTCTAATTATTATTCAGAAATTCGTGGAAAATCACTAATGAATGTTCAGCTGTATGATCATCGTACATCAACTGTCCATGAATTAACATTTAGATAAAGACATTGGTAATGGTCGGTCGGGATATATATTATATATGTGTCTCTATATACATACATAAAACTTGAATTTCGCATAGTATCATTTTGCAATCACAGTCTGTGTATACATTAAACAGACTGGTACTAAGGTGAATAAGTACACGAATATATATATATGAAAATTTGTGGTATTCATTTTGCCTGAATAGGAATTTCTTGGAAAGTCTAGTATTAGGGAGTGCAAATAACAAACAAACTTTTCTTTCAAGATATAAATGTAAATTATTTACATACCATTTCCGTTTATGTTTAAACGGTATAGTCTTTATTTACATTGTGAAACGCAATGTCTTAAATTCGTCCACGTACATATCTTTGTCTATGTATTTTGAGTGTAAAAAAAATTGAAAACTATCAGTCTTCTTTTCCGAAAACAACGAGTTTTACATATTTTAGTTCAGTTAAATATCGATTCCCAACGGAAAAGCATCTCAAATATTCATCATGCCACTTTTATGACATGTGAGCAGTTTGAAGAATTTAGTTTAATTTCACAAATGAGTGAAGATTTATGTTGAGAAACTTGGAGATGGGACAAATGAAGGATGAGCTAGCGATTTAATAACGAACTTGGAAGAGAATCATGCTAAATTACTGAATTAACTGAAGTGAGGAATAAAGGGAGACTACTGGATTCTGACTCATTGAAAGAATCCCTATTATGCTTATTATACGAATACTTAGGTTCGATACTGATGTGGAATTATAGATGCTTATTAATGATACTAGTCTCTAATGAAAATCATGTTCATAGTAACAATTTTTTCACAAAACTACATTGATATTCTTGTTATTATTTCGCCAAAAAATCAATTTTTTAGAAAGTCTATGAATAATATGAGATCACATAAATGGTAATAATAAAAAGAATAATAATAATTCACATTTTCTAGAATTAATTTGATTTCATATGTTTATTAACACCACATGTTGTAAATACATCGACATGCATGTAATTCATTTGCGAAGGCTTATTCATTAGGCTTCGAACTTCGGTTAGTTAAAAACTTATGATTGTAACTTGATGTCCAAATCAAAGTAAATGAATCAGGGTTGGAACTTGTCACCTGCTGGCTGAGAACAGAGTACTTTAACTGCTGAATCACACACCCCTATTCAGCTCCCCCATATATATATATCGCCTTTTCTCCCGTGTTCAAATTGTTGTGTAGATCTAGCCTGGGGGTTACTAGAAGAGCTTAGGAACCGAATCTAGCATTCAATTAGAAGACTTATCAAGGTGAAAGGATGGGTAATATAAATGATTTCATGAAAGATACACTTAATCGATAGTGAACACTAACAACATTCAGTTAATGTTAATCAACATGATCATGTTATCAAATGATGTATGTAGTTTTTTTATTTAAAAAAAACACAATTACAACTATATATCGAAAATAATTTTACAAGAATCTGATAACATTCCATTATCACATCAGATATCATGGATTATTGCCATGATAATCTTTGTTATGTATTAATATTTCACAATAAAACAAAAATATTTCCAATGTTATCCTATAATCATTATTTGAATAGAAGTTATAAGCATAAGTGAATGGAACATAATTGACTAACTTATTTTAGGCAAAAAAACAATACTCATTTAGTAATAGTCTGTTTAAACATTCTAATAAATATTGATTGGAAAGAGAGAACTTTACAAAACAAGTTGAAGAATTAATTATAAGGTAGGATTTACAGTTGTTAACATGAATCAGAAGAATGCTAATTGACAGATGATTGTATGAAATGATGCGAAGTATGTCTGAATGATGATAGCTACTTACTTAATACAAGCCTGATATAAAATCAAAACACCGACACTAGCCAGGAAAATAGGTTTTCTATGTAATAAAATGACGGGCTTATATACAATATATTAATGATAAATATAAGTGGAAGTTATAGAGATCGAGAGGAAATCAATTTTGCAGGTCACTAACTGATCAGTCATTTAAGATCTCCATAATATCAGCAATGGACAGACTTATTCTATCCAAATTTACGAAAAACTACAGATTCAATGAAAGGTATTTATATGTAATGAATTTTGTAGGTGTCATCTCGTTTAAGCTAGGTTCTTTAGTTGTGAAGTTTTTATTGTCTTTTTAGACAGAATGAAGCATTATTAGGATTTCCCAACAACTGACTACACATTTATTTTGATAATCTGTAATTCGAACAGTTTTCGTTCATAATTATGCGACCATTATTTGCATAATTATCTTTATGACTAAACCAACCAGTTCAGTGCACACAATCGTAAAATCCTCCATAATATATCATTGAATTTAAATATACATTTGTGCACTAGTATAATTGTTATAATCTCTTTCTACGGTATGACCCAGATATTCCTATTGCCTAGTATTCTTGGACACCAAATCACTTGACAAGTTCCCAAATCAGAACACGGTTGAACAGGAAAGAGATTATATTCCAAATAACAAGGTTAGATGGAAGCAAGAAGCGCAATAGGGAAAACGTCAGTATATTTATAGTTTTTACATGAGAAGATTCTAGAGTATTCTCCAACTATCGACTAGCGCTGACTGGATAAGAATTAGCCAATCAGCGTGCACCAAAGTAATCGTGCATTGAGCATGCTTTAATCCAGTCTATGTCCCGCTAACAATAATGGATCAGTTTTAATTTAATTCCTTTAAATAATGTATTCATACTAATAATAAACATATTTCTATTCTGTTTCTATTGGTGATAATTTCAATGAAGAATATTTACGAGTGATTAGAACGTTTCTTCAATAATGAAATACATTGTCAAAGAAATCTATGCTAATACACCTTATGGATGAAGGACAACTACACATACTTGTCATGGTCAACAACAAAGATCACACCTTTAAATTTAATAAATCCATTAGTAACAGAATCCAAGTTTTGAAATAAACAACAAAAGAAACTTTATCTCATCAAGGTTTTTTCTTAACAAAATGTGTCAGAAAATGATTCTTTTTTTTTCTCTTAATCTCAAATACACAACCTTTAAAGTGAAAACTTACTGTTAATCAGATATAACAAAAGAAAAAAATAGACGAAAAAACATACACAAGATTCTGAATGACTACCATTAGTGAATCAATCAATCAACCAGAATAGGTTTCGAATACAATTAGAGAATAAAATGTGAAATGGTAACCAAAGGATAATCTTTTCAATGTATATATATATATATATATATAAAGGTTATTTTCTGTAAAATCTACTTGTAGTCATCATAAACAAGAAGAAATGAAAATGAGACAAAAGTCATAAGCATTAGAACATACACACAAATACATTGATAGAATGAAATACGAATTAATACATAATGAACAGAAGTAATAAACGTGTGGATTAGATACAAGCGAACACACAGACACACACACACACACAATAGAACACAAAATTAAATTAGGCTTACAAGTAAGAAAATTATACAGATCATATGATGAACAATGAATTGAAGATAGTAATTCATTAACATAGAACATTAAATAAGTATTATGTTTGTTTCAAATGATCAAGGATAAAGAAAGTAAGTATAGTAGTCCAATTATCCGGTAAATTAAAATAAATCAACTTCCATAAGATTCTATGTATGTATAAATATAAATTATATTAATTGTTTTGTAAGAAAATCTACACATCATTATATACATATTACATTTGCAAATATTATAAGAAAGAAATCATACAAGATATATTCAATCAAAGATCAAAGGAGAGTGAATTCAAATTGTGCAATATGTAATCCATGTGTGGTCAGAAGACACACACACACACAGAGAGAGAGAGAGAGAGGATGAAACTGTATGAATATATATAGGCGTTGTTCAAATAAGGGATGAAAGAAAGTTAATCCCATTGATATCAAAAAAATATATAAATATACTACTTAAATCTAAAAAGAATTTGAGATCTGATTGAATTCACTGGTTAAATCATCATCAATCCATTCTAAGGTATAAATCTACTAAAACATAAAAAATTTGTATGCTTTTTTTGGTTTAAAAAAAAACAAAACAAAGAAGAAATCATGACTGAATGAAATCTAAAATGTAGGAATATTTTTTTATAAGCAGATTGATTCATGTATACATGACAATGGAGTAGATATTATAAAGTAAACACCATCAGCAACAATGGAATTGTTCAGATTGTAGGAAACTATTTCAAAGAATGATTGCATTGAATATTGGTTATTCTGTAGGGATCAAAAGATAAATAATAAACAGATGAACAACTCAATACATTTGGTTTAACAGAAAAAAACTTCACTTGAATAAGATCTTTCACAGTTAGACCCTAATCATTATGATATGTGACCTTCATAAAATCTAGATTGATGTTGAAAGAATGTTAGTATACATCATAATACAGCACGTGTATCGTACTACATGACATGGTACATGGAATTAGTTACAAAACGGTTACAATACAATCCATAATGCTGAACAGACAAATTTTGATAAGTTAACTACACATTTGACTTGTTTTTTTCAAAGATCTAATCAACTGTGTATATTCCTCGTTTAAATTATGAACACTGAGTGTATTCCAGATAAGCATTATTGAGTTTTAACTATGAATTGTAGCTAATTAGTAAATAGTTTGTTACGTAATTGTATAATTTATTGTTATCAAGCCTGTAAATGGATTTCAAAAGAATGTTTGAAATTTTCCTAAAATACGATAATTATCACTAAAAGTGGAATTAAACACTACTTGTTTCTTAGTTTCTGTGTATTGCATTCAGTAAATCTAACTATTTGATTTGACCACATGACACTACTTGCAAATTTAAAAAGTAGCATGCAACTCACTAAATAAAATTAATCCAGTTAAGTCAAATTAAAGGAAAACGAATATATTTTCGTTGATTAGAATTAAAACGACGTATAAGATTTTTTAAAAAACAACGAAAGGTTCAGTAAATTGTAGAAATATGCACCATACTTGTGCAAATATGCGTAACAAACAGGAGGAAACTAAGGAGTTCAGAACAACGCTTCCCGTCGACTACCACAAACTACTTGACACTATTCACTTAAAAATAAACAGAAAAGATCTTGAACATGTAAATAAGAAGTGTCATTATAATTACTTACTGTGATCTATTAATGTTTATTATCATTATTATTACCACTATTACCGCGAATCGCGTCAAAAGCAGCACCGAAAAGATCATCATCATAATCATTAGTAGCAGTAGTATCAACACTATCGACAGTTTTCATATTTTTATTATTATGTATCATGGTTTGATTGCATTGAATATGTTTTAAAGGTGTAGATGAAGACATTGTTGATGAAAAGTGTTGCTGTTGTTGTGATGGTGAGAGAAAATTATCGGAATTCCCACTAGATGATACATGTTGAACAACAAGAGTAGTGGTTGTACTAGTAGTAGTAGTAGTAGTCGGTTGGTCTATTACATTTAAACGTGGCGATGTCGACATTTCAGCTTTTCTTGAACTGAAGGGGCAGCAAGAAACGTGTAAGACAAAATTAGAGAATATTTTTTCAAGGAGATCATAAATTTATATTATCAATATGTACAGAAGTAAATATCCCGATGAATAAATGAAATAGGTGGAATTTTGATAATTATCATACGTATTTTTGTTGCATATCAAGGGTATTTTTGCATTACCCTAATTGTAAGGTTTTAGTGAGATCAGTATCCATTGACATATCATTTTATTGTCTATAAATTACCGCTAATTAATTATGTATTTACTATTCAGTTTTCTACTACAAATGACCCAATTTTATACAGACTGTTATTTCCCATTTCTGTTGAGTTGTATTTTTGCAATCGATACCTATTATCATGTGAGTCGTCAAAAAATACAGAGTACATCGATTGACTTTTTTCGTGTTTTCATAAAAGTGAGCTAATGTCAGGAAGAAGTTAATCTGGTTTACTTGAGTGACGCTATTTAGGCGTTAGCATACTTAGTAGGTACAATAGTTAAGCGAAAGTCATTAGTATTATTGATGTCAGAGGGACTTAATAAGTTAGCATTCCTGTTAAATGGACATAGAGAAGTAAAAATATATCTGTGAGATAGTCTTAAATATAGATTGCATACAGAATATCTTGATGATAACTCATGAAAACAATCTGAAATGTCAATTATACGAAGTCGAACTAACTTACAGCATGTCTAATTGAAACTGTAACAGTGAGCATTACGGAATTGAGTATCACAAAGAGACTTCGTTCGATAAATATTATAGTGGACGGGATCTTAATTATGGTAATCAATTAGAGCGACAGTTGGATCCAGGTGTGGAAACTCAAATAAAGAGGGCTCTTTCTATTGTTAATATTATTCCTTCAGTCATACAGTAGAGTCAGTCGGTTGTGGCCCGAATAACTCAGTGATAAGCTTCTAGACTATGAAGCTGAGTGATACATTTCAAATCCATCAGGGAACACCAGTTCTCATGAAGTTGCATATACGCGCCTTTATTGTTGAGGGTTGCCAACTAGTAAGAAACTTAAAGTAGAGCAGGTTTTCCTGCCAATTATCTCCAAACATCTCATACCAATGCCCTAACCAGATAACTAGATATAAAAAAACTAATGGCATCTAAATGAGCAAAATCACTCAGTCAACTTGAAAATATCACACATACCTTGAAATAACATTGCCTACACTAGTGTATTCAATAGTTGAGCAACTATTTGCTACTGAATCAAATGATTGAGATATTTGTGACAAAGATGCTAAACTTTGTATATGACGTAAATTTGGAGAGAAAATTTTCAAAAATGACGATGTATCACTTGGACAACGTTTATGTCCCAGTAACTAAAAAGCAACAAAATAAACAAAAGAATATCGCATAGAAAAAACGAATGATACTTATTTAACACATAGAGGTCTCCATACTTGGAGGCTTAGGTAAAAATTTAGTTTGATGAAATATATTGATACACAATTAAGTTGTACGAACCAAAGTATATGGATGAGTATCATATTTGGAATTCTAATAGTCGAAATTATGCTAGTGCCGGAAGAAAGTTGGGGTCCAGCCAATCGAGGATGTGGCATCAGTTCATGAAGTCATTTATTGTTGGATGAGAAAGTGTTGGTAAGTAAAAATTATTAGGTTTGTGTCCACGTAATTTTCGTAACTGATTACTAAGGACATTGGGTGATATGACTCAGAATCAGTTAAAATAACAGATAAATTTATTCTCTGTGCTTCCTACAAATCATATGTGTTCAATTATCTCTTTTTTATTCAACGAGTTTACTATTTCGTCATGGATACTATTGTCTAAATTAAATGTTTTCTACTACTATTGATACTGTTTCTACTTCCATTACTTTAATATTTGTCTTGATGATCTTATTGCATTATGCTAACGTGGTATGACAACATGAATCTATGGATATATGCTCTATGTTTTATATTATATGTGACCATTTATTTATTTATTTGAACACATCAAGTTTGGTACAAGGGGGCATCAAACACATATGCTCCACTCAACAGTAGTGTATATCCACAATCTAAGCCCTAAGAACCGAACCCCAAACCTTTGGTCTATCGCGAGAATGCTTAGCTTCTAGATCACTGGGGCAGAATTCAACAATGTTTATGTCTGATTACAATCAATCCATGATATCGCTCGACCATTTTAGGTCAGTTCGTGATTTAAATAACAGTTCATAACCTCTATACTGTTAATTAATTAGGATTATGACAACAAAGAACTGATAATTAAACGAATAATCCAAATATTCTTATGTTTTCTCTCACTTGTCCGTGAAACGTTTGCACATACAATAAATAACCTATCTAATGAACGTATATATAATGTAATAAATAAAAAGTGATTAGATAATTAGTTTATAGAGAACAAATTTCATTGAACCAATGCAGTAAATAATAATGTTACCATGATTTCATAAAGAAAGATTTAAATAGTTTAAGTTAACATAGTATTTGATAGATATTCTGCTGTATATGATTACAATCGGAAGTATATGAGTTGATCATTTGAATAAAACTTAAAGAGAGTTGATCAATTTAATTGTGTATTTGGCATCGAGTAAGAACTAGTGAAACTAACTAATTGTTGTCCAAGCCAAACAAGATGAAGCAGAGTTTAAACCTGGGACTTATTGGCTAAAAGTCGAATGCTATAATTATTAAGTTATTGATCTATAAACAGAGAAAAGTAGTATTCACAAAATAAAACGACTATCAAAAGACTATAGAGAAGTTCGTCTTTTTTTTCAAAGGTTGAAGTTAAATCTTAGTGTCATGAGCAACTTTCATCAAACAAAAAAATGAATACAAAGAATATTAAACTAGTCCAACTCGCAAAATAATTCAGACTTCACTAATAAGATTACCACAATATTCAATGTTTCATTGAGTTAGTTTATAGATTAATTATTATTTATTTGTTTGAACACATAAATATTGGTACAAAGGGGCACCGAATACATATGTACCACACAAGTCACTTGATTTGTGCGTGGGCTGTGATACTGCTCGGGTGCCCAGACTGAAGCAGATGGCTTTCTTAAGAAGCCACATTCGAAGCCTTCGACATAAAGACCTGACCCATAAGGCAGTGGAGCAACGTAAGGAGATACAGTCTCATGGTAATCGGTGACCATTTGTTGCTTCAGGATCCTGGAGCCCATTGGTTTGGAATAGGGGTTTTCCAACTCTCCTAGGTGAACCCTCCGTGTCCACCAACCCGGTTAAAGCGTCGGACATTCGATTTTCGTCCTCTCAATTTCGTAAACAACAGCCTCGCTGCAAGAACGTAGTCAGTAGGAATTCCCTGGAAGTGGCTGTACACGCGTGGTAATCAATGTGATACTATTAGACTAAGTCAGTATTATATATTTGACTGAATAGGGTTATAAGCTACGGTTATATATATATATATATATATATATATATCATGATCAAGCTTAATTGACTTCATAATTTTAAAGATAACTGCATAGAAAGCTATAAATGTGAATTGTACAAGGTTACATTGTAAAAATTATTTAGTTAATTGCTGATTCATACATTAGTTCTATTCCTGTTCTCGTGGATGATTTGCTGATGATAGGATTGGGTGAAAAACAAAACAAGAGATAGTCAACATATGAGATGATATTGTAATATGAAAGATAGTTGGATAAGACTAATATCTATCACGATTTTCCAGTTGAAGTCAAAGAAATTGACACAACTCAGCTGTTTGAGACATTATTAGATATGTTTTAGAATAAAAGTCAATAATGATACACTATTACATAATAATGAGCTAACCTTCCTTTTAGGAAAGTATCCTTTTCATGATATAATTTTAATTCAACTACATCTCTCATTAAATACTACTTCTTTTCAGTTACTAACTGAATGTACTAAGCTTTTATCATTTTGATTCGTTCAAAAAATTATCGATTTATCATTATGATACATACTACTACTTTTTAATGCTCTATTATGGATCAAAATTTCAGTGTTTTATTAACTAAACAAAATAAACATGCGTTTTAGTTTAATAATAAATAAATTTGGTTAGAGAATAAAATACAAAAAAAATAAATAAACAAACACAACCCTATTTTCAATGGTTAAGATCATGAGTCAGTTGAAGCTAGACCACCATGGAAAACCCGGAAGCACTGGACGGCTGTTTCGTCCTATTGTGGGACTCCTCGGCAGTGTGCATCCAACAACTCTATTTGTTAACAGTTTTTAACTTCATCAATGAAAATTATTGATTCAAATTATAAAAGGAACAGTTGATTTGATATTTTAAGAAAAGAATAATTCTGAAACTTAATATTTTAACATAAGTAGAGTTTTAAAAGCATGAAAAAGTACATTTAATGAAGAAGTCAACAGAATTATCATAAATTAATTTTAATCGAGGAACTACTAAAAGACAGGGAACATTGGAAAACTGTTCATTCTTAGTATAATCTCCTCAAGTAGTGTACACCTACAACCTTAGCATAGAATGAACCTAGGACATCCAGGTGTTATAATCATAGTGAACGCTTAACCATTTTATAATCACTAAACCAGAATTCTATAGTATACATTTCCAACTTTAATCATTTTTTGATATGATGTGACAAATCATCCAATGCCAATAGTGACAACGGTTTGATTTCCGATATACTTTTTTTTCTAAAGAAAAGTAATTAATTTATAAGTAATCAGAGAGTTAATATTTATGATTGAAATTCGATCAGCCTTGGTTGTCAGATGTGGATCCAGTGCAGATTATCTCAATATAGCTATTATAACACACGTCGACATATAACTGACGGAATTAAGCAAGCAATAGAATCCAGGACACGTGTTCCGTCCTATTTGGGACTCGTCAAGTGAATGTACATATATTCCAGAATTAATGTTAACACTGCAACTCGGCAGCGGTACAACTGTCTACAGAACAGTATACATAGAGGTTTCAACAAAAATCCAATTAAACTCTATATAAAAATATGTGAATAGTATGTAACTCTAAAAGAAGTATTTACACTATGCACTACATTTTATTGAGATGCATACAACTTACATTTGTTGATGGTTGTTGATTAAAAGAATCTTGAAATGACAAACTGATATTTTGATTTGACACAGTTAGTATATTTGAATAGGAAAAGTCGGCAAAGTTTGTCGTAACGGGATTATTATTATTATTATTATTATTGTTAGTCATTGGTGATGGTACAATCGGTGGTCTAATAATTGAATTTACAGTGTTACCCACAATTACACGATTATTAGCAGAGTAATTAGGTCGTGGTCTTTCTCTTGGTGCTACCGACGTATTCGTAATAAATTGATCCGTCGACTGATGAATAGATTGCTTCTGATCAGGTGAACAAGATTTATTTCGAATATTAACGGAAGGAGAAACTGGCCTGACATCAATGAATGAATGGGAAAGTTAAGTAATTAAATGAAGAAAATATATCATAGTGCTATTTAATAAAATGATGGAATTTCAATTTGAAAATAATTTTACAGTGATAGTAAACAAAATTTACAGTGGAACTCCTCAGTCGCATATTGCTGAATCCCAGTGTTGATACTCAAACCAAAACTCCAGCCCAGTCTCTTTCACCTTCGAACTTAGTACCTCAGCGGATAACGCGTTGAGCGTTAGGATGGAAAGTTACTAGCTTCGAGTCTTAATCTGACCATCAACATTGAGAAGCAAGTAAGTCTAACTGACGAATTCTAAATAAAACGAAACATAAGCCCTGGATTTTTCTGCCAACCACTGTCCAACTCTACTAAAAACTTGCAAATGAATGGGAATATTGACGCAATCCTCCCGGAACGCGCCTGATCACTTGTAGTCATTGAAATCAACAACGGGAAAATACAAACCCTTACAAATAACATGCATACTCATTAATATAAATCTAGGACAAACGACAATCAGGTCAGATAAATGAATTCTGCCTCCTATCATAGTGATTCTTAGTATAGACATTAGTAATCAACTTCGAACTCTCAAGAACGATATATTTAGGCGATTAGCATTTAAGCTAAAGATATGTGCGTAGGCTGTCACATGTGATCAAACGTACACGTTTATACAGATATGATAGTGATCATAATAATACAAAGAAATAGACAAATTGTTACTGTTCGAATAACATGGTCTGCTAAATAAGTTAATTGAAGGACTTGACAAAAGTAACCGTAAATAAAATTAATTATGAGAGAGTTGCTATGGTCTGTTATTAGGCCTTACATACTATGATAGCGTCGATCAAAACCGAGTTAATAAACTTGTACTTAGTATAAAGGTTCTACTATAAACATCTTTATTCACATGCAAATCAAGCTGAGTGAATTGTATTCGTTCAGTAATATGAAACGGAGAACACAATACGTTATCGATTGATTGTTCGATAAGCAATAGTGGTAAGATGCATAACTGTGTGAAATAGAAAATATGAATGCTTCTTCATTACTAGATTCTGTTTTAATAAACTTTCAGTAAGCAACCAGTTATCATTTATTATTAATTCCAAATAATTGCCAAATTCACAATTGTAGCGTATGAATTGAATGTTCTTTGTAAAAATGTTTGCAATACTGTTGTTGTTTAAATTGATTAATATGTTTTTTCCATTTAGGGGAATTTAAGTCTAACAAGCTTTAATAAACAAGTTATTAACTTGACAAACAATCGTAAATGATTTGATTTATGCAAAAACTATGACTAATTTGAATTTAATGAATTAGTATTGAGTTGTTTATTGTTTTGACGGTGAGACTATACTTTATGGACGACCTTTGAGCGACTCTAAAGACCTTGAAAATGTCCACTTACTACGACTAAATGAGGATTATAAACTGGTGTGAGGAATTAGGATTAATATTTACAGTTGATAGTTAGGGTTAGGAATTAGATTTAGGGTTTTCATCACGAACCGACATCAGCTATAATGCCGAAATGCTATTTAGACAAATGAATTAATTAATTTCGCGCCAAAATTCAAGACCTGTTATCGTAAATCTGATTGGTTCGTCTATAAATTATAGTCTCGCGGTTTTGACTAGATCTTTTTTTGTTTAACCACACTAGACTAGGTCTACATATTCAAACAAGATAAAAAAAGTATAGTATTTCATCAACTAAATTATCAAAGCTTTAAAAAATCATTTACTTAAGAAAACAATCATTCTTATAGTACATACCTATTTTCTGATTTTAACTCGGATGTATGATAATTGACAGGTAATTTGAGTTGAGATTCTCGTGGAGGTACAATTAGATCTTTCCAAAGGGGAACTGGAAGATTCTGTTTGTTTGTGTATGTGTTTATTTTTCATTTAAAAAAAAGAAATAAGAGAAAAGTGATCATCACAACAACAACAGCAAAAGATAACTAAGAACAAGTCGATAATCATATTAATCATAGAGAATACGAGTTAATTAAAGTAAGACAAATTAAATAAATAAATTCAATAGATTTATTTTTTCACAGATTGAAACCATGAGTCAGTTGAAGCTAGACCACCATTGAAGACCTGGAAGCACTGGACGGCCGATCCGTCCTAGTATGGAACTCCCCAGCAGAGCCCATCCACGACCCCGCACCACGCGGGATTCGAGCCCAGGACCTACTGGCTTCGCGCGCGAGCACTTAACCATTAGACCACTGAGCTGACATCCAACGGTGTTAATGTCTAACTTCAACCAATCCAGGAAGTTGCGCCACCATATATACCATTGTCTTCAGTGAGCTGATAACTCAGACCTGGTTGACCTCCACTGGTAACGGCTTCCCATTAGAACTCCAGGAGTATCTCTTGAAGTCAGTCATTAGTGAGCAGATGATTAATTTTTTTTTCCACTGTTCAATGTTTATCATGTGTCGTAACACCTTTTTACACTTGACTGATTAAAGTAATTAGAAATATGATGCAAATGACCTTGAGATTACATATCTGTACAATTAAGAAAGTTTACGTTGATTAGACAGATCTCATAATTGATACAACTGTATAATACTCTACATTGAAAAACAAACAATAATTGACGGAAGATAGAATGAAAATATATTTTTTTAATTGAGTGGATTGAATTAAGAACAGTAAAAGGAGAAGTTTGCATGAAGATATTGATTAAAGAATGGATCTAAATGATGTAGGATTTCAGCTTTTTGTTGGATTGATCAAGTATAGATGATCAGTTATAATGGTAGAATAATTGATAATATTGATTTCAGTAGGTATATAAAAAAATAAATCTGTACGAACCTGAGATACATGATTTGGGGGATTGGTAAAACAATAAAATTGGAGATAGGTGAAATACCTACCAAGTGACTCATATGCTATTCAACTGTTAATTTTAAGTTTAAAGTGTCTAAATTACTTAAGTGAAAAAGTGTGATATCGCATCTTCGTGTGAATAGCAAATGGAGGATATGTAAGGAAAAGTTTAAAATCTATGAATGGTTAGTAGCTCACTGGTGTAAGCACTCAAACTATGGATTATTGAAAGATGAGTTTGGATCTCATTCCACCAAATTTGATAAAAGCAACATACAGATATATATTTCAACGGTGAGTACAAGATTTTGAGGTTGACTACAGAGTTGCATATCTGTTTGTTGATCGAAATACTCCAATCGGAATTGAAGACGAGTAGAAGACTGGTCATTTTAAGACTAGACTTACGAAGATGATGCTTAAATGAATAGATAAACCTTAATGAATAGAGGACGGTATAAATATATATCTTATCACTTAAAATGTGATTAGGTTAGTTGATGAAGATACAACTTTATAAAGAAGTTACAAATACAGTGAATAACAAAACAAATACATACAAGAGGATAAAAGATTATAGATTAAATCAAACAACAACATACACCTAAATTCTGGGCAGGATTATTTCGACCCGCAAGCGTGAAGACTAATGCACAAACTTGATAAATATCTGGACGTTTGAATGCATCCACACAAAGAATATAACCTGTGAGAATAAGATGTTTACAAAAAAAAGAATAAATCCTATCGGTGATGCAATTGAAAATAATGATAAACGTTTTAAATTCAGTAGTCAACCTGACACAAACGCACATTGATCTAACTTACCACACCATATCAGGACAACAAGATGATGAAATTTTCAAACAAATACCAGTGTAGTAGAAATATTAAGAGTATCAGTAGCAGTGCAAAACATTAGACATAGATAATATAGTTCAGGAAGAAAGAATGAACTCACTGAACAAAAAATGAGATAATTTTGGAACCCAAGATATGAATGGATCTGAGACACTGGAACAGATTCTGCTTCACATAACCCAATGTCTCTAACAATTGGCTACGAAGACACAAGAACTATAACCAGGGAGTTTGTACAAACCAACACTGATTAGTCCGACAGTAAATAACTTCAGGGACTCGTACCACATCTTCGATTGGTCACCTCTTTTTTATCTAACCTACTCCTACACACTTTTTGTAAACGAATGTTTTAATGTAGGAGAAAGATAAATGAATGTATAGATAGGTGGTCTCCAGAGACTTATGTTCTAGTTAAGATGGCCTTCTTATTACTAAGTTTAGAAATAAGAATTGTGTATATCCCGATGACTATCTTTGGGATCAATAATCTTGAAGTTCTACAGCAAGGACTGTGGTTTATGTGGACTAAAGCTAATGGTGAGGGTGAGAATAAGAATTAGCCAAATTTGGAAATGTGAATGGTTGTGTTCTGACTTCATCATAGTATTGTGGTCAACAAAGGACCTAAAGAATCCTAAATCATGTGACAGAACAGTTAGCTATCCAATGTTTTATGGCCTTCAGTTAATGTCAGTCAGTGATGATGTCGATTTGAATATGGTAGTAGCAGTAGAGCAGTTAAAACAAAGTCTTTTAATATTAGCCTTTCCGGATATACTTTTCTGTGACAGAATAACCAATCGTTTTAACGAATACATTAATGAGATAGGTTATAATCTAATTGATTTCAGATAGATATCTACGTAGATAGTAGATTAAGTTGACAAACAAATCTACCAACATATAGGCACATTAAGAAGAAGCTCTAAACGATTTAGTTTATATTCAACAATTAGTAAATAATCCTTTGTAACTTAAGTTTGTATGCAAAATAATGAGAAGTTGTTACTTCGACCTTGTTTAAAAAATATACTAAGACAACTATCTGTATTGATTTCTTGATTATTTTACAAGTATGTGTAATTTATATTCATACGGATACAAGACTGAATAACAGTTCTCCAAGGTAATTATATGTTATTATGATATAATGTGGTGTAATATGCTACGAAGCTACAGAATCAGATAAACAACCATAAATAATTGCACTGGCCCAATTTCTCATACTAAGTAAGTAAAGCGAAATGCATTGAACAAGACGGATTCCAAAGGAATGTGGTAGTACTGATTATGAAAAAGATTGAACATTGAGAATGTGGATCGAAAAGACAAAACGAAGACGTATGTATCAAGAAATAGAAGAGCTAAAGATCTAGAGAAAAACAAAGGATGAATGCATTTGCACTATTGCGATTGTTTATAAAACAAGGTCAACTATTATTGCGCGGATCTCAGCCGTGTAATCTATGTCAACATTGTTTATTTATTTAAGTGCATAAACATTGGTACAAGAGGATGCCAAATACATATGCGCCACAGAATAATAATGAGGCCAGTAGTAATTATCATTTATTTGTATGAGGGCTGTGATAATGCTCGGGTGCCCAAACAGAAGCAAATGGCTTTCTTAGGAGGCCACATCTGGAACCTTTGACCTAAGTCTAATCCAAAGGCAGTGAAACAACGTTAGTAGATGCAATCCTATGGTAGTCGGTAACCAACAATAGGTTCATGCGCTTCTTGTTCCCTTATGATCCTGGAACCCATATGCATCACTGGTTTGGAATCAGGGTTTACCAACTCTCCTAGGTGGATCCTCTATATCCACCAACCTGGTTAAAGCGTAGGACATTCGGTTTTCGTCCTTTCAATTTCGTAAACAAAACCCTCGCTGCGAGAAGGCAGTGAGTTCAAACCAACAGGTAATAATTCCAAGGACTGATGCTACTTTTTTGTCTGGCTTTCTTCTAACATATTTCTACACCAACTAACATCATCTATCGAGGTAAACGTCTGTTGGGCACACTTATGTCCCGACAACCTTATAGTAGATGAAGATTCACAACCTCATTAGTAAGAGAGTTAAATACACTAGACTTTCAGTCATTCATTCTCACTTTTTTAGATTGGGCGCCACCTGAATACATTTAGATTGCTAGGTATCCTTTTCTTCCATAAATGTATCGCAAATCCGGAGGATGCATAGATATGCAAAGTATTAATTAAACTGAGATGACTAGTGTTTAACAATGTACACATGACTATCCAATAAATAAGGATTCAGATAACTAATGCAAGTTGATTAAACTCAACACCACTACACAAGCCAGTGGGTAGCTAAATGTATAATGAAATGGCCTTTAGAGCGGACAGTACTGGATTCGGGTTCCGGAGTGAACACCAACTCTGTGATGCAGGCACATTCAGCTGACGAGTCCCAAATAGGATGAAGCATAAGTTATAGATTCCAATGCTAACCACATTTCATCTATTCTATATCAAATTGTATTATATTGGTTTTATGGAGGCGATTCGCACAAGATGAACGCATATATGTCAAAACTGATCAATTGCAGTTCTCAACACCGATGGAACGATTCAAATAGCACATACAACATGAGTATAGCTGTACAATAGGTTAATAATTAATAACTTAGAGAAGGTAAAACATATAACTACAGTTTATGCGTAAATCGGGACGGTACAATACGAGAAATATAGAAATACAATACTAAAAGTATATAGTACTTAGGCACTAGAAATTTGAATGATAAATTCTTATAATATAATTCTCAAAATGTGAATGTTTCCCGAACCCAACCATGATCCATAATACAATGAGGTTAGTTTTAAAACACTTAAAAACTGAAAGGTGACAGTTTATGAAGAAATATAATTGTTTAAGCAAAAACGCTTAAAATGATATATTAAAAACTAAAAAAAACTTACCAATTAATTTATGTAATCTTTCAGAATATGGTGAATTGTCTGGTAGACTAAAATTACCTGATTGTATAGCTAAAATACTATCACCAAATGGTAAATTGAAATAGCATATACAATACAGCATACAACCTAAAGCCCAGATATCGATTTGTGGACCTAATGGAATTGATGAGGATAAATTGACCATTTCAGGGGCACGATAAGCTAAAGTAGTATATCTAGACCATAATAATTCGAAGAAAAAAATTGCATGGAAATTCATAATGATAATGTACAACAGATTGTAGACATGAATTGAGAGTTTAAATATATAAATCTATTAGTGAAAATGGTTTAAACTGTTCATTCTGGTCAGCGTTATTTGAGAAAGGTTGCTTTCTACGGGACGGGGTTGCTGACTCCATGACCAACCATCCTCCTTTACCCAGGCTTGGGACCGGCAGTAATCCTTGAAGAAACACAGGTAGAAGTCACCACCTGATGGTTGCCAAGAAGACACTGAATCTAAAGAAGCACTGGACAACTGAACAAACATCATCACAAATATTCAATACAACCTCCCCTCGCGATACTGTCAAAATCGACAAATTCAAGATAACTCTCAACAGCAAGTTCCAAGCCTTACAACAATCACTCACAGAAGAAGAAACTATTATGTAGGACTACTGGGAAAGAATCAAAAGAGCACTAACTTCAGTGTGTCAGGTGTTGCGCCGCACCAAGCATCATCACAAGTAGTGGATCTATATTGGAACCCTAGTTAAAATTCAAGAAGACAGTGATTAACAACATCCCAACAAGAACAGAAGAAGTTAAGGCACAAGATGAATACACAGAAACAAACAAGCCAGTGAAGAGGAGCATTAGGGCCGGAAAGCAAAAATATGTAGAAGAGCTGGAAATGACAGCGGAAAAAGCTTCAAGAGAGGAAGATATGAGACAGCGATATGACACGACGAAGAAACTGACAGGAAAATATAGTAAACGAGAGAAACCGGCCAAGGACAAAAACGGCAAGACAATCACCGAGATTGAAGAACAGAGGAAAAGATGGGTAAAACACTGAAAATCTCTCCAATATATCAGCTCCACTGAATCCACCGGACATCGAGGAAGCACACACAGACCACCCTATACACGTCACATCACCAACGATCGAAGAAATTAGGATGGCCATCCGAAAAATGAAGAGTGGAAAAGCAGTAGGACCTGATAACATACCAGCTAAAGCAGTGAACTCAGAAATAGAAGCAAATGTAAATGTACTTCACACTCTACTCAGGAAGATTTGAGAGAAGGAACAAGTACCGATGGATTGGAAAGGATACCTCACCAAGATACCAAAAAAGGAGGTCTGAAGAAGTGTGATAACCACAGATTCATCACACTACTGTCGGTATCAGGAAACGTTTTCAACAGTGTTACTGAACCGAATGAAACATTCGGTGGAAGCTCAGTTTCTAGATCAACAAGCTGGATTCCGTAAGGATCGGTCGTGCACAGAACAATTCGCGACACTACAGATTATCGTTGAACAATAATCTGAATGGAATTTATCACTACACACCAACTTCATTGACTATGAAAAAGTATTTGGTATTGTGGATAGGAGAACCTTATGGAACCTACTTCGACGGTGTGAAGTACCCGAGAAGATCGTCAACATCATCCTGAAATCATACGACGGACCACACTGTAAAGTCGTGCATAGAGGGCAGCTGACGGAATCATTTCCAGTGAAGACCGTTGTTAGACAAGGCTGTCTACTCTCCCTCTTCCTCTTTCTTCTGGTGGTCGATTGGATCATGAAGATTTACACATTTGAGGGGAAGCATGGAATACAATCGAGAGCTTGCATCCAACTAAACGATTTGAACTTCACAGATCACCACTCACTTCTATCTCATATACACCAACAAATCCAGGTCGAAACAACCAATGTAGCCGCAGTGTCTGAAGCAGTAAACCTCAACATACACAAAGGAAAAGGCAAGAACTTGGAACACAACACAGAAAACACCAACTCAATCACACTTGATGGAGAAAATCTCGAAGAGGTCGAAACTTATGCATCTGGGAAACATCATCGATGCACAATGAGGATCTGATGCAGACAAAAAGACAAGGATCAACAAAGCAAGGACAGTATTCATACAGTTGGAGAACATATGGAACTGAAAACAACCGTCAACCAACATCAAAGTCACAATCTTCAACACGGACGCCAAGACAGTTCTACCATACAGAGCTGAAGCGTGGAGTACTACGACAAGCCTCACCAAAAAAGTACAAGTATTTCTAAATAATTATCTACGCAAGTTACTCAATGTCCTTTGGCCGGATACCATCAGTAACAGACTACTGTGGCAGAGAACTAAGCAACTTCGAGCTGAAGAGGAAATTAGGAACAGATATTGGAAGTGGATAAAATACAACATCACGGAAATCATCAAACTGCATCCCGAAGCAAGCGCTAACTTGGTATCCCGAAGGGAAACAGAAGAGCACACTTAAACAGAGAATTGGAAGCAGACACGGGAAGAACTGGAAAAAACAACCCAGGACAAGGTTGGATAATGTTGGTGAGCGGGTTATAGTTCTTCTTGTGAGTCAATACGTGTGAGTAAGCAAGTATGTTCCACCACGAAGGATAGCAGGCGTAAGTAATTAGTGAAAAAACATTATGGTTAGCGGTGGAACACAGAATTCGTGTTTCGTCCTATTTTGGACTCATAAATCGGATGTACCTGTGTTCCAATATGTTGATGCTCGTATTAAAACTCAAACCCAGTATTGTTCGCTTCAAACGCTAACGTGTTATCCCCTCCTCATCACAATCCATCAATTCCAATACAAAAAAGTTTGGAAAAATGACTATATCGAAGCAATTTGCACAGAATGCACATATACCTACAAAGATTGGTCAAATTTCAATCTTGAATATCAACAATGGGATTAATTTAAACCCTGACTAATATTGATACGAATATATTTTCATAGTTTATTTACCTAGTATACATTTTTGTATTGCAAACTAGAAGAAAAAATATCTACCTAGAAATTTCTTCTTCACATCTTCCAAGACCATGAACACCAGGATGGAGAACACGTGAAGTTGCACTGCCAAAATCGCATAGAATAAAATTATTTCGATCGTCAATAAGAATATTGTCGATCTGTCGTTTATAACGTTTTGTTGTCATTTTTCATTGGGGGCAGAAAAAAGAGAATAAAACATAAAATACTTTCATTATAACCTTTTTGTTGTTGGAAAAAAGAAAACTTTTATTTACCAGAAGATTTACGAAAACAACTTAAAGAAAACTAGTTACAAGTCAGTCAGTTAGTTATATTCAATGTATAGGCTAGCATTAATGTGTGTTCGCCCAAGTTCTCGTACCAAACTAGTGCAAACAGGTGAACAGTAAAAAGGTCGAAATAATAATCACAAAAATGATCGTAAGAAAGACTATACACTGAGAATATGGTATTAAAAAAAACAGAAAGAAAAGGTATGTATGAAAAAATCCTGAAACTTGAGATCAAGAGTAATTCAAAGAGTTAATGCACTTACATCGTCGTGAACGATCACGAGCCATATCACTTAACGTCTCCAATCACTAATTGAGGTTGTCATGCAAACGCTAACTAGTTAATCTGTATTTACCAATATGGATCATTCCAACAGCCAATGATTTCATAGACTGACAATACAAATTGGTTTCTCTGACCTTAGCTTTCTTTCAACCGGCTCTTACACCATCAAATATCGAGCATAGAGGTTTGGAGATGATGGGGAATACGTAATATATGTCTCACCCGCCTCAGATGATGAAGATTTACATCACCAACCGACTACTAGCCAATTTTGACTAATACCCTAGGCTTAACCTGAACATTGAGATGGTGTAGAAAATTAATAGTTCAAGTGGATGATTTTGGTGGAGTTTCTTTGTCTGAGCTGGATGGCTTGGTCCTGTAGCTTTCTTTGTTCACCTGAATAACAACATCAGAACAAACTTTAGATAGAAGTGAAGTGTCAAGCTTGGCACTCAGATCAATCAGCAATCAACAAACACGTCGAAATTAATCCAATTTAACAACCAATCAGAAGAATCATGGACATATATAAGACTAAGAATCAGATCAAAGTGATACAATCAAAATAAAGCGGTAGATAATGATAGGTTAAAAATTAACAATAACAAATGAAGGTCGAGGTCAATAGGATAGAATGTTTGTCATATGTGGAGATTTTCGAATACCATACTTCTGAACTCAAGTTTGTGCTGATGATATTGTTCAGAGGAACATTGAATGCTTCACGATTATTCCATCCAGCTCAGAGAAAGAAACTCTACCATAACCTGAACGTTCTCATCTAGTTGTTTCACGAAATGCGAGACATTGCTCTGAAGACACTTACAATCAAAAACCTTCGGATCATACATGTCTTCTACTTTTAAAAACCATGTTTTATCTTACATATTACTGAAAATCATACCAAAAATAAAGAAATAAAACAGATAAGATTAATTCGGTTGTATGCATTAAACTATTAAAACTTATCGTAAAAAGTTTCAATAACGTTATTCAATTGTTCAAACTGTAGAGTATAAATCTTACATATCGTGGAAAAATCAAATGAGCAAAGTTATTATGCCAAGGTGTGGAGTAATGGATAAGTGTGGAGATTAAAATGGTTAATCAGGATGTAAACCTTTTTCAGACACCTAACGAGTTGTATTGGTTTGTAAATATGTAGATTAGAAAACATAAAGGAGATCAGACAAATGAATGAAATTACTTTAAGAAAACTTTGTCTTCTCGACAATGTTAATTACACTAAAACTTTATAGTTGTATTCAGTTATTTTTAAATACATAGAATTAGTACATAGCAGGATTGAGAGGTACCGTATTGTTAACATAGTTATCAAGCATCGAATATAAATTGTTTATTAGTTTTAAAGGTATTGAATATATAGTAAAATGAAAGTGGTGTATATAAGAAGCGTAAAATATAACTTCATTTGTTGAATATAAAGAAGATATAGAATAAGTGAGTAAATAGAAGTAACAACTGATAAGATCATATTAAAATAAGGGGTTGGAAATGTCTCTTTCGGACAGAGATCAAGCTTCAATTGATGAATTGTTAAAGCCCCTCACCCATATGCAAGTTCCCTTGACTATCTCAATCCGGATGGCAGTACGTGGTCAGAGTTGACTAGGTGTTCGAGAATAGAGAGCTGTTGACTAATTTGCATTCCCCTTTAGACAACTAGAAATGGTAGTTTTCGGATATGTTTGCAAAGTGCACCACCTCCTGTAAGACCAACGTAACCTACTCCACAAGGTTAGGTATACAACAGATTAACAATGAACTAGTCCAAGATGAAAGTTAATATTGACATATAATGAAATAAATATATAGAAATCGAAGTTTTGCAAGCAACAACCACACACAAATTTGTGCACTAGGTTGTAATATGATAATATATTTTGATAATTACCAGTTACTACTCTCAATCTCACATACAGTGAATACAGAACAATTTTAAAATAAAATAGAGTTGTAAATTATGATTGATTTAGAAAACAACAACAATATTTATTTACACAAACAAACGTGGCCATATTACGTAGTAGTTTTTACAATATACTAACAGAAAGCGAAAAAAAATTGGAATATAACGCTGTTATTATGTTGAATAGATGTAAATTTATACATTCATTTCATTAGTTGATGAGGATTTGTGGAAGTTGATTTTAAATTGTAAACTGTGTACGTTACAGATTGATGCCAGTTGGGGAAATATTAAGTAACAGAGAATAATAGACAGCTGTTTCGTTCTATGAAGAGACACTGAAGCAGTGTACACTAACAATCATCACGTGAGGTCAAACTCAGAACAATCAGGTCTCAGGGTAATTTCCAACTATAAGAACGACTGGGTTGATCGTTTTGCGATATAGCACAATGATCATTCATTATCATTTGTGACAACTATTCTAACATGGCTAAATTCTACCATTAGTCATGACTTCTCACCAAAGATTCAGGAAGATTTTTCGGTTATTTTCACTTATGGTTTTCAACAGTACAGTGATTGAGATCAATCTGTGATGAATATAGTTTATGTATTTATTGATTCAGTAGGGAATATAACTTAGAGAATGATGTATAGTTAAGTATAATTGTGTAAACTCAACTATTGAAACACGAACACTTCTTGTTGATAACTATATCAAGATGTGAATAAATTTTCTAGCTAAGAATAATTATAAATTCAATGGTTGATTAGATTTGCATTGGATATTTTCTTACTTAAAAAACAAACAAGGAACTAATCGGAAATATGTAAATTCGGATGTTATTTAACTTTATAATAATGAGAATAAAATGTGAAGATATTACTTATGGTGATAAATTATTTTTAAAAAGAAAACGAGAATTTTACATATTCAAGGAACGTATTTTCAACACGTTAGTGATTAATATATGGAAGAAGTCACTAAAAAATGAAGATGTTAAAGATGAATTTCAAAAACAATCAACAGTTATTGACAGATATGTGACAATGGGACTTCCTTCTAAATCAAAGTAATTTATTAATTTCATTTATTATACAGAATGATATTGAAATCTTTTACGAGCAATTAAAATGTTAATCAGATTAGAGTTCTGACACAATTTATCGTTAGGTATGCAAAAATGTATTATACACAAGAACTTAAAATTTATTTAAGCGGTATTTACTGATAAAACTTGACCTACTACTATTACTATTATGCATCTGATTCAAGAAGTTTCTCATGAAATATAGAATTCACTATTACTTTATTTATCCATTTTTACACGAGTAGTGGCTCAGTAGTTAGGACGTTCGAATTTTAGCTACTAAGTCACAGGTTCGAATTCGGTTCCATTTACTGTGGTTTGTAAACAAACATTACTTAATCTTTCTGAACTCAATTCAACAGTAAACAATTATGAAAGATAACATACTTTTAAATCTCGATGAATAATTGGTGTTTTACAATGGTGTAATCGACAAACTGCTTCACAAACATCACTAAATATACGTATAACTTCAGCTTCCGTAAATCTGTGGTGTTGTTTCCGTTCATTTATGAGTTGACTTAAACTACCTTTGAATATACAAAAAAAGATGAAATAAAAAACGAAGAGCTTGTAAATAATAGTTATGATTATTTGTTGAGTTGAAATGTTAACAGATGTAAAAGTAAGCAATCCAAAACTACACAAAGTAGACTGTTTTGTTTTCCTGGTAAATTGACATGATCTAACTGTAAACTATAGAGATGGATTAGTGGTTACGCTGTTCGACATTTAAACACTAAGTCTCAGGTTCGAAACCTGCCCTACCTACTTCGATTTGAGTAACCAGTTAGTGTTGTTAGCCCTGACACTCAGAGTGTGGCTCGCACCCCAACCACAGAAAAATACAAAGTACTGAGAAAATTGATATAATGCGAAAGATCTTTATTGATCGGACTGAGAGTGATTTATGGTATCGATCTGCTTCAACTATCTACAATTAATCATGTCTATTTTTCTGCAAATATTTTGCGTATAAGCATGTAATTTTGTTAGAAGAGAGATACCCTCAAATGCCCTGGTATGGCTGAGAATGAGGTGGGTTCGCCCTCCCTCTCGAAATGCTTTCACATGGCCACGCGTATACAGCCCCTGCCAAGGAAGTCCTACTCACTGTCTTCTCGTGGCGGGGGTGTTGTTTACAAAAATGAGAGGACGAAAAGCGAATGTCCGTCGCTCTAACCGGATCCCAAACCAATGGTGCACATGGGCTCTAGTATCCTGATGGAACAAACGGCGTATCAACCGATCGTTGGTCACCGGCTATCATGGGACTGCATCTGCTCACGTTGCTCCACTGCCTTGTGGATCAGACCTTTAGGTCAAAGGCTCGGGGTGTGGCCCCCTAAGAAAACCACGTGCTTCGGTCTGGGCACCCGGGCAGTATCACAGCCCGCACACACACAAATATGGTGTGACGCATATATATTTGGTGCCCTCTTGTACCGATATTTATGTGTTGAAATAATAATAATTCTATTGGGAGTGTGTCTTGTTTTCTAACATTACTCCAATTAGGGGCTTACACCGATGTTGCGGTCTCGTGAGCAGCCATCGCTCGGTTGTATGTTATCATTACTTGAGCAAAGAACGGGTGAGTGATTAAGAGCTCTATTCTCGCTCACTTGGTACGCACAGGTCTTCAGGTTGACTTTAGTAAAGCTTTTAAGGTTATCCACCATATTCCATTAAATTTACCACATAGTTTGTGTGTTCGTCTGTTTCATATTGCTGAACCTACAATAACCCATGTTCACAAACCTAACACATTCATCCAAAAGAAGTTTGTGCACACACTCTCGCTACTTTAGCCAACGGTAGAGGAGTGAATTTTTAGCTGAACTTCGACTAAACCTTTTCCTCCGAAAATGTTTAAACGACTTTTTTATATCTTCCGCTTTTTATTTTTACATATTCTCAACATTCATCTTTTGATTTTTACATAACTACTACAATTCTGACGTTTCTTCAAGATATTCTGTCAGTTCCTAATATATATTATGCAAAATAGTAAGTGTTTGGATTTCCGAATAATTACTTTATTATAATTTTATTGCTCCTAATTACTCAATATTATGTGATCAATTTATCATTACACAATTATTACGTAACGTAACTACTTCATGAGTATTATTACGTTGTCGTAAACCATACATATACAGACATTAGTGTAAAGGTACGATGTATACTTTGACTTACCTGGATAATAAGTAGTCAATAACAAAACTTCATATATTCCTTGTTGAATATCTATTATTTTCGAGTCCACATAGCGAATAATATTTTTATGTGATAAAGAACTCTACAGATAAGAAATGATGTACAATGGTAAATTGTAAAAATAAATAACATTAGAATAATTTTGAAGTTAAACTTCATTAAATTTTCTGGAAAAATATAGCAGTAGTCTGATACATTTTATACGCTTTGCTTTCTAATCATTAAGTCATTTCATTAAGTTTGAAATTCATGGTAACTACTACATCAGTTTTACAAGCCAACTTAGCAACATTGTTGAAAAGAAAGCAGGAATATACAAACGGAATCATCGAACAAAAAATGGTATGGAATAATGATGGTACTGTTAAAACTGAAAAACTGGCTCCGCCATCACTGCTGTGACTAGATAACCAACTGTTACGATATCTGGAGAGTTGTCGCTGGTATGTACGTATCAACTCTGTTGAGTCCCCAGTCTTACTCCTTTGAATTGACAATCGGGAACCACTACAAATCCCACTATCCAAAGTGATAACACGAAAGACTGATGAAATGAAGATTTATTAGCTCCTCAAAAACACAACCCTAAACAAGTCCCAAATTCGCATATCGCCCAAAGACTAAAATGCAATCATTTACATACCAATTTTTACACACACTTTATAAGACATACAGAGGGAAATACGTACAGTTACTGTAAAAGCACACACAATAAATATAGTTTATCTGAAGTAATATAGAGATTGCAATTGTCACACTGAATAAGAGTTCACACTTGTCACCTAGAACAAAGTTCATACTAAATTGTTAAAAGAAAATATTAGCCTGTATCAGTGGTGTTTTAGCAAATCTCCAATGCAATAATTGAATACTGAATATTTAAACACCATTGTTTGTGGACAATAAGTATATAATAAGTAATGATTACTTGGGGTATTTGACTCAAGTCTTATAGTTTATGCAACAGCTAATTGTACTTCCCAATTAACTTATAAATTTATGTAGTAAGAGCAACATCACTAGAATCGGACGTTTAGTGAATTAAAACAATGTAAGCGCACATTTGCCTCGCATATACATAATCTAAAAAGATGCTTTTTTTTAAAAGAAAGGTGGTTGAGACATGGATTACTCTTGCATAACCACCACCAAACTTGATACACAATGCATACTGGTTCAGAAATCAAAAGAAAGCTAAAGGGAACTGGACTGAAATATAGCATCAATCCATCGAGACATTGACTGTTGAATTGAGTCGTGTTGGTAAGTGAATATTACCTGCTTGAGATAAATTCAATTTTTATCTCCCCTTAGACATTTTGTTTTGGAATTATTTCATAGTCATTTTACTCCATGACTTTATTTCTTCTCTTCGAACCACACTTTCTATATTTGGTCATTTTTACCGTCATTGATATTGTTATTATTTCTACCATCCTGCCATTTGTCCTGATAATTTTATTTTGTCGTACTGATATAATTTAGATACTTGAACCGATGGACAAATACACCAAGTTCTACCTTGTTTATGACTGAATACTTTTTTAAAGAGAAATTTTAAAAAATCATCAGATGTAATGCCGTATCAGTTCATTCTCTTTCTATAAAGTAGGCAGTCGATTTAGGCAACTAATAATCAACTACAGAGACTGTTTTACTTTACGATTAGGATACCAAGAACATTAATACATGCAATATATATATATATATATATCCTTCTGTTTACAAGATTTTCTTAGATCACATAGTTTTGATAAAGCATTGATGAACATACACAAGTGGACGAAGAAAGAAACAAATTATTTCGTGGTCTACATATCAAAAAATAACGATAATAATCTTACAACGGAATACTTACTACAATATTTATCTCTCTTTTACAAACAGAAAGATCATGACTATTGTTAACACATGTTCTTTTCAAAGCGTAAGTATGTCCATGTTGAGAGACTACACGAAATACAACACCGAATCCTCCTGAAATAGTTAAAAGGAGATTAAAAAAGCTAAAAATTATTTAAAGGCACATGAACATTATTTAATGTAAATTTATAACATAATTTAGTGTGAATAACTATATTAAATAATAGATACATTTCGATCAGTTTGTTTTGTATTAAAGTAATATATGATGATGGAGAATATTTGTAACTCAGGATACGGATTTCCAAGATGTCATACTCTCTTAACTCGATGGTTCAGTCATAAAGCTCCCATTATTCTTTTTAGACATTCCCAAGAGAAGTAATCTACGTAGAATTTCTTCATAATTGACTAACAGCTTATGTTGATCTAAAATTTGGTTGATCGTTAGCCACAATTGTCTGGATGTTGTTTGTATATATTTACTTTGATTACTTTCTTCCTTGACCTTATCTCTAACCTTACGAAGTGGAGGTAATAGTTAAGAGAAGTCTCAAATCAAAATAGAATAATTTATTAGTAGCAGTCTATTTAGAAAGCATATGAAAAACCAATGGATTGCTTCTACCCAGTTGCAAAACTCAGTACCATTTACAAGTTATTTTAAGGACAGATTAATGAAGATTACGGACAACATAGTTTACTAAGTCTTAGTGAGTTATCTTGGCACTTCATTACAAAATTTATTGAATTAAGAACCAAAAACATATTATTAACCGTTTATATACCTTGATACACATTTCAACATGTTGTAGATTAGAAACAACTCATATTGAATAAGTAACAATACTCTTCAATCAGTTCACATGAAATTACGCAAAAGAGGCTTATATTAAACCTAAATCACGAATATATCTTCTGGAATGATTATTTGAGCTTGTGAAATTGAAATGTTACGTGAAAGTGATGAGGTTTAGTGAATAAGTATATGTATACGTCTATTAAACTTTCATTTATATTTGTTATGTATATTATTATTACTGTTATCAACTTGTTTATTGAGTACGTGTTTATGTACTCGCCTTTAGGTTACACTTCATTATTATGAAGGGTAGTCATACTTCCAGGTTGCTGAAACGAAAGCAGGTGAAATGGATTTCTGACCCATAGAGTATAGGTTAGAAGCCCAGCGCTTTGGCCAAAACGCAACCACTTTACCATCGACCACACGAAACCCACATATACTAACTATAATTTCCCGAATTAAATCAGATAACGTGAGTTTCTAAAGTGGAATATTTAAATTATGCAGGTCCACAGATCTATTACACTGCAGATTGATGAATATTGAATAATAGTAATAATAATAATAATAATAATAATAATAATAATACCATTAGTATCATAAAACTAAGCCTATGACTTATATCGGTTCGAACCATTTAATAAGCATCTCATTTATGACTTAGACTAGCTATAGCGTCAGAATATCGATGATTCCAAATAATTTTTACAAGTCATATTTAAGAAATTATCATTACACATTGGTCATCGTAAACATTACTAACCCTGTTGTTATTTGATGTAACTTAAAGATTATAATTACTGTCAGAATGATTGAACTGTAATTTTGTTAACATTTGCATAAATATAAATTATACTCGTCGGAACTTGGCGAAAAACTTGAGCATTGTTTTCAAACATAATAGGTCAATCTCTATGTCATTCCATGTAGAAATGAACATATGATTATTGATTGGCTTTTATTTGCAAAATAAAAATTTATTTATTATCTAATTGTCACAGTCTGAAAAATATTTTTTTGATTAATTACAACAGGAAATAGGTCATGGAAGTCTTTATATAACTGAAATAATTATTAGTATAGGGGTTGTGGAGATTATTAAGTTTTCGACTGAGATCATGAAACGATTGATGTTAGACCACCACCTTTGGAAACCTGGAAGCACTGGACGGCCGTTTCGTCCTATTGTGGGACTCCTCAGCAGTGCGCATCCACGATCCCACTTGCGGGATTCGAAATAATTATATTTTTTAAAATGATTGCTTCCTACCAAATAATCCGAAAATTTTTTACCGAATAGTTATATTTTTCAACAGTCAATGGAATACTCAAGGTTAGCTGAGGTAAACCACTATTTTATGTATTGAGATTTTGTGGTTTGTTGGATGATGAGCACGCTTTTGGGAGTATTAAAGTGAGTGAATAGAATTTCGATCAGTAGATAATGAAAAAGTGATATGATATGGCTAAGTTGATATTCTAGTGACTTTCACAAGAGATTAGAAAGAAATTTTGATAACGTAATTCTGGAGGATTAATCATATTTTGTTGGAAAAGTTAAACTAGACTTTTCCGTTTGCATGTATTTTTTAAATACATAATTCAAGACGAAACGATGCAGATCATGAAATACACTCACCAGGATTGTAGGACTGACAAATATCACCAAAAATAGCATAATTTGTCAAGTAATTGACTACATTAAGACTAAAAGATGATGAGACAGAAAAATAGATTGTTTGATTAGTTCAGCATACTCCACTTAATCTAGAGAGAGGTTCTGTGGCAGTGTATGTCATTGAACGGTGTACCTCAGAGGTATATAAACCTCGGGAGGGCTCTGTATTCGAACAATACCAGTCGAATCAGAGCTTATGGCGAACTGTCATCTGATTTTGCAACCTGAAGTGGTGTCCGACAAGGCTGTCTACTATCTCCTCCATTTTTGGTCAATTCCACCACAGACTTACTGCTGGAAATAAAATTCTCGTCGACTGAATTCTCGGGTATTGATCTCCTTCCATGAGGTCCACCTATCAATTTAGAATACGCAGATGACATAGTCCTGTTTGATGAAGACGCTGATATAATACAGAGTCTTCTGGTAGCACTAATCAACAATGCCAAAATGTTTGGTATGTGCTTCTTTCCCTCTACATGCAAGTTGTTGCTTCAGGACCGGTCTGTATCAACACCTGAACTAAGAATAGGGAATGAAGTAGTCGAACGCGTTGACAACTTCACTTACCTTAGAAGTCTGATAAGCCCTAATGAGTTGGTGTCTGACGAAATCTCAGCACGGATTCGAAAAGCTCGTTCGGCTTTCGCCAACTTACGTCACCTATGGCGAAGGTGAGATATTCGTCTATCAAAAAAGTGACGAGTATACTGCGCGGCAGTTCGTTCTGTTCTACTTTACGGCTACGAAACGTGGCCATTAAGAGTAGAATATACTCGTAAGTTACTAGTATTTGACCACAGATATCGTAGAGATATTGTTCGCCTCTGTTGGGATCACCGGGTAAGTAATAGTGAGGTTAGACGCAGGGTATTAGTGAATGATGGTAAATCAGTTGATGAGTTTGTGAATCTTCATCGGCTGAGATGGTTGGGCCACGTGTTACGTAGGCCTGAACACTGATTACCACGACGTGCAATGCTAACCGGTGTTGGAGATCGTTGGAAGAAAGTTAGGGGCGGCCAAACCAAGACGTGGAATCAGTGCTTGAAGTCACAAACTTCTAGCCTGAGTCATGTTGGTAGATGCAGACTACTTGGTTGGGGTCCGCGTGACTATCGTAACCAATGGTTGGAGACTCTGGGTGACATGGCTCAGAATCGATCTTAATGACGTCGGTGTATACACTATCTATCTTCCCTTAAACTAAGAGATTAAAATCGCTTCATATCTTTCTTTCTACGAACTAATTCTTTCTTCCTGTACTATATCCTTATATGCAATCTTTCTTTTATATATTACCACCATTGACTTAACCGCTCCTATGAATCCGGTGTCCATCTTTTTGTGTTAATCAGGTATAGCAACTTGGACCGATGTATATATGTGCCTGGTCCTAAGTTGTAAATGACTGACATCACTGACTGATATTAACTGAAGGCCATACAACATTGGATAGCTAACTGTTCTGTTACATGATTTAGAATTTTTTTAGGTCCTTTGTTGACTACAATACTATGACAAAGTCAGAACACAACCATTCACATTTCAAAATTTGGCTAATTCGTATTCTCACCCTCACCATTAGCTTTAGTCCAAATAAACCACAGCCCTTGCGGTAGAACTTCAAGATTATTGATCCCAAATATAGTCGAGAATCGATCACAATGGTGTCGGTGTATGCACTCTTTGTCTTCCCTGAAACCATGAGATTAAAACTGCTTTATATTTTTCTTTCTACGAATTAATTTTCTCACTCTGCTATATCCTTATACACTATCTTTCATACTTTACTACCATTGACATGTTCTTCCATTTCAATCCTATTTGAACTTAAGTCAACGTGAAAATTATGCGTCGTAGATGACTGACTTAGTCTAGAAAGCTTTTAGATGTTTAAGTGAAAGCCACATCTAATGCTCTGAAACATAGGTAAAGAGAAGAAAAAGATTGGATATCCTACAATTTCGAGAATAAGATGGATGAATCAATTATGCGTTTGACTGCTAAATAGTGGGGCATACTATACTATTAATCCAACAACGAGGTATGATGTAGCTAAACACCACGGAGATACTACATAACTTTTCGATTCCCAAGCACCTGACGTTCATAAAGACCCGTCTCCGTGATAGGAAGACAGTTCTTGTCTACCTCAACAAGTCTTGAAGTAATGTGTCTCGCGACGCTTGACTACACCGTTTACCGACCCTGTTTTTCATAGGTTGTGGGTGACTAGTCCTTTGTCCTACTAAGTTAAAGCTTCAAGATAACCTTCAATTCATTTGTGAGCTTTTTTATCCACTTACCCTTTCGTGGTTTACTGTTTCTCATTGCTTATATTTCTTGTTTCCAGATATTTGACATGTCTTATTAGGACATAATTTTTAAAGGTTTTTCGACGTCATGGTTTTTGATGAGTCTGAAGCTGATACTGAAGTCATTTATTTATTTTAACACATAGACAATGGTACAAGAAGACACCAAATACATATGTGCCACACAGATCTCATTTGATATGTGTGAGGGCTGTGATACTGCTCGGGTGCCCAAACCGAAGCAAGTGGTTTTCTTAGGGGGTTACACCCAGAGCCTTCTACCTCAAGGTCTGATCCACAAGGCAGTGGAGCAACGTGAGCAGATGCAGTCCCATGGTAGCCGGTGACCAACGATCGGTTGATACGCCGTTTGTTCCATCAGGATACTCGAGCCCATGTGCATCACTGATTTGGAATCAGGGTTTCCCAACTCCACTAGGTGGACTCTTCATGTCTACCAACCCGGTTAAAGCACCGGACATTCGCTACTCGTCTTCTCAATTTTGTAAACAACACCCCCGCCACGAGAAGACAGTGAGTAAGACTTCCTTGGCAGAGGCTATATACGCGTGGCCATGTGTGAGCATTTCGAGAGGGAGAGCGGACCCTCCCCAGGGCATTTGGGGGCATAATACTGAAACTGTTCACGAATGTACACATGTGACAATTGAGACAGATATCTTAAAACCACTAACAGTAAGTTCATTTTGACATATAAAAAATTCAGTAACCAAGCTTAGGTTTGCATACTTAGTTTTGAGAGTTAATGATCCCACTAAGCTATGAAAAGAGGGTTGCTGAGGTTCCAAGTTGCGAAACCAGTGGATGGAAGTCCAATATTTCCCAAAACCCCGACAACTGTGACGCAATAGTCTTGTGATACAGTTTTGTGCTACAACAACAGATGGATCAAGTAGTGTGGTTGTGCAGTGTGCTAAGAATAAAGTGAACAAAATAAGTTACAAGGTGTTTTTCGCTCCCAATTGACTAGTTTTGACGAGGTGACTAAAATTTGGTTTCATCAAGTGTACTTGATACACTTTATGCTAACAGAAAAGTTAGAAATTTAATAACTGAACAGTTGTCACATTCTCCATTGAATAGCTCGGTAAAACGTTCTTTCAGGAGGGTTTCAAACTACTTTAAAAGCATCTAAGTAACCAAGTTTTAAAACAAATATAATGTAGGAATATCTGGTAAAAACATTAATATTACAGTTGCCCTGCATCGAAAGCAACACAATAAAGATGAATCACTGCGAAAAGCAAAGGATCGAAAGTAGCAATACTAACAGAAATAATAGGCTAAAATAAAGGAAGCCGAACTAAGGGAAATAAATACAGTTGTGGGATGAATTGTGCGGAAAGATACTATTTCAACGAAGTACCTAGTGTATGAAGGTTTGGAGCCTCATATGTTGTACCTGATCATGAACTGGTGGAAGGTTTTTTTATATACACGGCATAAATACCATACTTAAACATTGAGGTCGAAACTGAGTCGTCGCTGCTTGTCGAACTTTCAGGACTAATATATGCCACCTTATCTCCTTATTCTTAAAAATATGAGTTGGGTTTCGAATGACCATACATAGGTCTCAGTAGAAAGGTATTTTTCAGAAGATTAGTATCATAATCAGACTCGCGTAGCAATACACTGATACACTTTGGAATGATAAGTACTATTACGCATTCAACGATAGAAACACTGTTGGATTATTTGTTTTACTCCCCACAGGAGACATACATATATGCATTGGTTTTGGACATAAGGATGCTATAAAATCTTGACCATTTGCAATGTTTCTCAAATGTCCTAACTTTATTCCACATGGTACTATTATCATTTCAGAGATTTAGACTAGCTAGCATATATCTTCAAGTACTTAATCCAAGAATCTCGCTACATAAATAAATTTGACTGGTTATAATAGCATTTTTTTGAGCTCGGGAAATTAACTGACCTAAACATGAGCGTCAAGAAAGTCAAGTGCCCCCTATATTATTGATCACCATTTATAAGACAATCATACATTGGTAATCAAAACAGTCTGAAAATTAAAGTCCTACCTTCAGCAATAACCGACTCCACAACTAGTGTAAAACTACCCACCCTAAAATTACGCCCGACAGCAGCAAGATGTGGTCCTTGATGATTACCAAGATTGTTATATGATGCAAATCCTTCATCAGAATCCCCTTGGGCAAGGCGTGCTAATATTTTTTTCATTCCTGGAAGAAATAAATCCCGATAAGTGTAAGCCGACAACACCACCGCGCATATTCCTCTGTGACTTAAAACGACCAAACAGCTGATGTCTAATTCCCAATCCAAAGATCAAGGTCGTGTTTTTAAAGTATTGTCCAATAATAATTGCCTCAATGACTATCTAAAATGCCCAAAAGTTGCGGAAAAAACCGTCAAGAACCGAAGAAGTGATTATTTGACAAGGCAATAGGCTGCGATAAAATTCACGCAGATATCTAATATGGTTTACATGGTTCAAATGGTTGTGGTCGGAATAGAAGCTTCCAGACAGGAACCTAGGTATACTAACGATAATAGATGAAAAAAGAAATTGGTAAATCATAATAACATGTTTCCTTAGTCCTTAAGAATAGGTCAAGTTTAACCTTAATGGACTCGTGAGAAGTCGCTTGGACTGGTTCAGTCGGCAGCGAATCCTAGTATTCGACAACTCTTAAGGAGTAAAAGTCGTGTCTACAATCCGTTATGCTGTGTTGTATTTCCAATTTCTGGGTGTTTCGCCCTAGGTTTGTATTGGTACTAAGCTTAAGTAGATGCATAAGGGGATGTCCAGAAGTGCTAAGGATAATGTAGGCCTTCAGGTCTCCTCTAGAACGCCTATACTCTAATGGGTAAAGGTTGGGTGATTGGAGGCGCTCTTCATACAGTAAATAATCATGTATACCATTGCATATCAGGGACTCCATGATTTTCGTAGGTATAGAGAGAAGAGCCACCGGTCGGTAACTTGAAGGTTTGCTGCGACGACCTTCATTGGAAATTGGTGTGATGTGAGCCAGCTTCCAAATTTCCTACACATAGTTCCCTTTGTTATCTTAAAGAGAGCAAGAACAAAGATTAGTGCAGAATAATATGAATACATTTTATTTCGTTAGGTTCTCATCAGCCACTTGCAACCTAAAATATTTGAAATTCAACATTATTACAGATATTGACATACTTATACATAAGAGAGTGATTATGGATGAATAAATGTATCATGGTGTAGCGAAGATTCCGATAGAGTTAATGAGCTCATAAAATTTTGTCTCGAATAAATAAAGTTTGAGAAGGAAGGTTCCTGAACATTGAAAAAGTGATTAGAACTCATGAAAATAGATCAATGGTAATAAAGAAAATATGAATTGAAATCAATCAGTTATGCATGATGTAATTTGAACTTCAGAAAGAGTTGGCATTGGCTTCGACTTAGCGAGTGTGAGAACATCACGCTAAGCGGTCTTGCCAGGGTTGAAGCTGCTTCCCTCAGTATAGCAGAATTAATCATATCTGGGCCAGGAGAAGTGTCTTTTCTTAGGTGCTTGAGTTTCCGGAACATTAAGACAGAGCTCAGGTTCACTACGGATAGACCTGTGCAGTTGCACATGAAGCTGTCATCAGCATAGTTGATGTGAGTCGGTTGAAATATCCGAGAGTATTGTTCAGCCAAAAGTTTAGCCGCGTCGCAGTCTTTATTGGTCGGGTCATTATGGCCTAGCAGCTGGGAAACTCCAGTTTTGGCTTGACGAAGAGGGACTGCAGAACGGAATAAGCTTTACGGATTGGAGACAAACTTATCCATAAGCTTTGTCTCATACTGAGGCCTGTCTACTCTTATAGCCTTCGTGCATATGTTCCTTATATGCTTGTATTGCCTGTACGCGCTGTTGTTGTCAGTTCGTTTGTATTCTGCCCAACAGTGCCTTTTGCGGCTTAGCAAGCGAATAGTGCGGTCCTTGATGATTGTAAGTTGCTTGTAGCTATTGGGAACCGTTTGAGGAACTGGCTGCTTCGTAGCACATAAGGGCGTGTGCAGTAAGAAGTCCCAAAGAGCATCCACATCAAGTTGAGGCTAAACACCCCAATCCACCTGTTATAGATAGTCCTGTAGAGCTGACACATTCAGCCGTTTGAAATTCCAGCGCCTATTGTTGGTGGGATATCTTAGCCCAGTTTTACTGACAAAACTGAAGGCTATAACGGCGTGATTACTTTTCCACAGGGGAGTCAGGATTGAGAGGTTATCAACTTGAAATTCTTCGTTTGTAAATACCCAGTCTAAGCGCGAGGTTATCTGACCGCTCACATTTTCGTATAATCCCAGATACCCAATGAGGTTTAAGAACCGAGTATCAGTTTGGTTTTCGCCCCCAATGTACGTATTTTCCGCGAAATTGACTCTAGGGAGATTGAAGTCCCCTAGAATCAGAATATGAGTGAAACCGAGACGCGTAGAGCGGGATAGTCTTTCCAGCATACGACTGTCATACGAGTATGACAATAGGCTTTCTATAGATGACCACAACTAGGCCCCTCGAAGTAGTAGACAATCTTACAGAATACCATACAGATTCATCAAGACTGTTAAACTCATGGTTGTTGAGTTGGTGTATTTTCCGGTACACCTTGCACAATGATATTTCTTCGTCGGAAAAACTCGAGAGATTCTTTACGGATGTTTCGGATGAGATTGCGCCCAGAATACGGTATTTCGGGTAGTATTCTTACGTTCCCATCGGATTTCAGTAAATGACTAGCTATTAGGACATCCTCTACGTCGGTAGCATTCTTAAGTGCTACACGAAGTAGCCTCGGGCGATTTTGATGCTTAGATTCCTTTCCCCGAGTGAGCGGTGTGACCGTCAAAGGCTCTATTCTAGAAAGTTCAAGCTTCTTATCCAATTCTCCTCAGAGCATCCTGTCATTTTTATCCTTCAAAATGAGAGGAATGTCAGGGTTATCTTTCAGGTTCATGATCATTAGAGGGTCATCACGAACCCTGATTGTTTTCCCAGGTCTTCTGCTGCAATCAGGTTCAGCAACTTGTTGTTTGGTGGTTGAAGCACGTTTCTGAATCCTAGGCTCTTTGATGACCGAACAGACACTTCGAGGGTTGACTGTGCGATCAAATCACCAGTTGACTTCCGTTCAACAGCTGAGATGTTCAACTTGGACGGTGACGCCTGGTAGATTTTAACTCTGTTAGCGTGAGTCCAATCTCCTACAGAGTCTTTGGGAACCACTGTTGTATTCAAGGACCCTGAGATGGGAGACCCGAGTTTGCTGAGGGAGTCTGTTACCGTCGAATTTGGGATGGTGCTGAGTTTCAGCATCTCATCACTAGTGCTAATGCATGCTCTATCGATAGTAGACTTGTTGACATCCGTATTCTTGTTTTCATTGCGCGTCCTTGTTTGTCCACCCGTTTTATGTCTGTCTTTTTCCAAGTTTGCTGACAACTTGTTCCGCAGACCTGTAAATATGACAATGATGTTACTCAGCGAAACTACAGCATCCGTGTTGCACGTAACACATACCCACTTATGTTCCGACTTGCTGAGTCTGATGTAAGCAGATACAATTCGATGATGCTCGGAATCATTGGAACCCATTGAACCCAAGCTGAACAGAAAAGGATAGATTCAGGAGAGATGTTTCTGTAATCCCGCCACAAGAAAGAAAACTGTTCACATATTTAGGGAGTTGCTCTGATGCTGTTCAAAGAAACACAAAATGCACTTATAGGGTGAGAATCTCATGGACCCAGGATCACCAAAGCATCATTCAAAATAAACAAGGAGAGAATCACAATGAATATTATCCAATGTTATGCACCCACCGATGGCATCAATGATGACGATAAAGATCAGTTCTACGAGAGGTTGAAATCGATCATAGCTGAATTTTCAGAAAAAAAACATGGCAATCCTGATATGTGATGTAAACTCGAGAGTCGGAATGGACAACACCGGATACGACGAGATCGCAAATTTATGTGCATTTAACAAACTGGTTATAAGCGGCATAATATTCTTCCACAAACTCATAAATAAAGCTACATGGGTCTCACTGGATCACATTACACAGAATTAGATCGATCATATTTGCATCAGTGAAAAACTCACGAGGTCAATGGAAGACGTGTGAACCAGGAGAAAAGCTGACACAACTTCGGATCACTACCTGTTGATTGCCAAGATGAATCAGAGGATAAAGAAGCACTGGACAACCGGACAGACAGTATCACAAAGATTCAATACAGCCATCCTTCGAGGAATTCAAAATAGCTCTCGACAACTTGTTCCAAGCCTTACAAGATCTACTGAAAGAAGAAGAAACTCCTATGGAGGACAACCGAGAAGGGATCAAAGAAGCACTAACTTCAACGTGTCAGGAGGAGCTGGGATGCAAGAAGCATCATCATAAGGAATGGATCTCTATTGAAACCCTGCACAAAATTTAAGAAAGGAAGAACAAGAAGACAGCGATTAACAACAGCCGGATAAGAACAGAGACAATCAAAGCACAAGCTGAATACACAGAAGCAAACAAGCAAGTGAAGAGGAGCACTACAGCCGACAAACAGAAACATGTACAAGAGCTAGCAACGATAGGAGAAAGCTGCAAGGGAAGGAATTATGAAACAACTATATGACACGACGGAGAAACAATCACTAAGACTGAAGAACAAAGGAACAGATGGGTAGAACACTGAAAATTCCTTCAATAGACCAGCTCCATTGAATCCACCGAACATCAAGGCAACACACACAGACTTTTCTACACACGTCACACCACCGACGATCGACGAAACCGGGCTGATCATCAGACAAATCAAGAATGGTAAAGCAGCAGGACTTGACAATATACCAGTTGAAGCACTGGACTCAGACATAGAAGTAACTGCAAACATACTCCACATCCTATTCAGGGAGATTTAAAAGGAAGAACAAGTGCGGACAAACTGGAAAGAAGGGTATCTCATCAAGATACTAAAGAAAGGAGATCTGAGCAAGTGTGATAACCACAGAGATATCACACTACTGTCGGTATCAGGAAACGTTTTCAACAGTGTTACTGAACCGGATGGAAGATTCAGTAGACGCTCAGTCTCGAGATCAACAGACAGGATTCCGTAAGGATTGGTCATGCCTAGGCCAAGTCGTGATATTACGGATCATTGTTGAGCAGTCAATTGAATGAAACTCGTCACTATACATCAACTTCCTTGACTATGAGGTGTTTGACAGTGTGGATAGGAGGACAATAGCCGAACGAGAACAGAGAATTCAAGGCACATGCTGATTACACAGAAGCAAACAAGCAGAAATATGTGGAGGAGCTAACGAATCATTATATGATACGATGAAGAAACTGACAGAATATATTGTAAACCAGAGACCGATCAAGGACAAAGAAGGCAAGACGATCACCGAGATTCAA